GAAAACGAGACACGTCAGTGAATAGAACTTGTCCCCACTGCATGGCCGTCCAGCGTAGACTCTGTCTGTACCACTGTAGACGTGCTTGACGGTGGTTTCCTGTCAAAATTGGAAGTCTGGCGGGTCTTCTGTCGAAAATGCCTGCACATCTCAGGCGGCGACGTACGGTTTGTGAAGATATTCGTCGAAGGCCAGGGATGCTTCTAGATCTTGCAGTCACTGTTGCTGGCTGGAATCGATTTCGTAGGTGTCATGTTCGAATCCAGTTGTCTTGTCGATTATTGGTTACGCGTGGCCTGCCACTCCGAGGATGGTCTCTGACTGCATTCGTCTGTTGCCAACGTTGCCATAAACACCAAATGGTGTTTCTGTGGACGTTAAATTGTCTTGCAACATCACGTTGACTCGATCCTGCTTCAAGCATACCAATGGCTCACAGACGCACATTTTCGGACAGGCGTGGCATTTCGTAATGTTGAATAATTGCGTAATTTTGTTGTTTTTCTGAGTGGTTGATGTCAGCACGATGCATAACAATGCCTATGAAATCCCGTTAACGCACATGTTTTTATAGCCATTCTTGGGTAGTGAAATGCATGGGGCTTGCATAAAAGTCAACTTTTGCATGGAATGCATGCTTTTCTGTAGCAGTTGCGTTTTTGTGACTTGATTCCATACATGTTCTACAAAATTGGAAACCAAACTTTACTTGTTTGAAAAATACACCAAAATATTGGTGTCACAGGAACTTTTGTTTTTGAGTATAGTAAATTAGCTGTTTACGAACCTTCTGCTCCTGTCACTCAATAACTTTGTATAATTCTCTGGACTGTTCTCTCATTTTGGTCGATTCACTTATTGTGTACCCTTTGTATAAAACCCAACTAAATGCAAATAGCTGTATCCCCTATGTAGCACTGTTCCAGGTGACATCCCAACTCTCACCCACCAGATCATGTTTAATGTCGACAGTGCCTGACATGAATAATCTGTGTAGAGCCAGGAAAATATGTGTGGCTATTTTCGCTTGGTGATCTTGTCCTGTATCATTTTGTGTCTGCATGTAAATCAACACGGAATTGCATGTCACCACTTTGTCATGTCAGCGAAGTTGTAAGATGAATGGGACAGTAAACAACATATACACCCTGATCTTTGATCCACAGATGTCCCGTCAAGTTTCAGGATCTAGAATTCAAAGTTGACGTAAACAATTCGTTGCACATGATGCAGAACGGTGACGACATTTGTCATGAGGCATATCCTATTTGCCAAGGATGTTTTTCTCCCCTGTTGAATTCTTTGCAAGCAGTAAAGTGTTCTAGCAGCTGTGTGTCTTTTCAAATAGAAACGATAAGTGTGTTGTTTATGATTCTCCTCCGACCTTCTCATGGCTTTACATCGTACAGAAGTTCTTATACGTACAATGCAGAGCCGCGTTTGCGTCTGTGTACGGCAGGGTCGGTGTCGAAGTCGTCCTTCGGATACAACATGTACGCATCGAATGGTAATCCGCAAGAGGTTCTTTTGACAATCTTTTATGTATTTTTTCAAACATTTATTTCACAAAAAGTAAATCGGTTTAGAAAGGAGTTAACAGTATCATTTCCCCTCTGGAACTGTATGTTATTACATTTATGAGTTTACAAACACCAAGGTGTCTTTTTATGTCCCCGTCGCTGTTACCAGCCAAAGGTAAGGTTTGATGGTATTCCAAGGTGTCTTTACCGCTGTTGGGTACGGCCCAGCTAAAGGTAAGGTTTGATGGTATTCCAAGGTGTCTTTACCGCTGTTGGGTAGGGCCCAGCTAAAGGTAAGGTTTGATGGTATTCCAAGGTGTCTTTACCGCTGTTGGGTAGGGCCCAGCTAAAGGTAAGGTTTGATGGTATTCCAAGGTGTCTTTACCGCTGTTGGGTACGGCCCAGCCAAAGGTAAGGTTTGATGGTATTCCAAGGTGTCTTTACCGCTGTTGGGTAGGGCCCAGCCAAAGGTAAGGTTTGATGGTATTCCAAGGTGTCTTTACCGCTGTTGGGTAGGGCCCAGCTAAAGGTAAGGTTTGATGGTATTCCAAGGTGTCTTTACCGCTGTTGGGTACGGCCTAGCCAAAGGTAAGGTTTGATGGTATTCCAAGGTAAGTAACTAGTTTGGGAACAAGGGGTATAAAAAATCCACTGTCGAAACATCTGACAGAGTTTAAGAAGGCCATGGCAAAATCAGCATTAGCCTTTAAAAGCATGTTATGAAGGCGTGGAACGTTGCGATGTATTTGTACCCAGTGGGGATTAGACAGTAAAAGAGGATAAAGCTACGTTTCTGCATCACGTTCCCAGTTACCAATGTTGTCAGAGACGATGGGTCGGGTATCCAACTCGGCTTGGTTGATTGCGTGTCATTGTGTTCAGAAGCTCTGGGACGATGCCCTTGATTACAATCACTGGTTTGTCTGGACCAGACTCCACTATTTACAGGCCGCCATGATAGGCTAGAATATTGCAACAGTACGGCTTCAAACAAGGCAACAAAAACAACATGTAGTAAAATATAGAGTTGATGGACATTATTTCAAATAATACTTCATAGTTCAACAGAAAGCTTTGAGATACCGGCAGACACTTTTGTAGAAACAAATAAAGTAAAAGGCACTAGTACTTTCAAATGCCATGAAGTCTGGCAAATTCAGTTGAAATGTTGAACAAACAGTAAACGAGATCGTAGTAGTTGATAAATACATAGAGTAACATGTGCATCAATTTATACTGGGTATTTTTGTAATTTAATTCGTTAAATCCCTTTTAGAAACCAAAACACCCTGTGTTTTACCTGGTGACTAGGTAATATCATGAGTCGACTGTGTATGTTGAAATACCATGAATTATCTACAGACATTCAATATTCAATGACAACACTATACTATAATGCCAACGTGGTTATTATTCCATTTTGTCCAATGTACAAAAGGTGGCATTATCACCGCGTTGTACTGTAATTTATACCTACCAATGTTTATGTATCGTAGAATAGTCAGTTGATGGAACTATTGGCAGTGGACAACATACAACCCTGTGCACATGTAAATAAAAGCATAAATATGATGTGCAATATGAGACTAGAGACGTTGTACTTGGTGACAACTAATTCCAAAGGGGAGAGATTTCTCATTTTTTCTTTGTACTGATCTGACAATAGGATTAGCACAAGACAGGATTGTTTGGATTAAACCGGCATCAAAGGCGTGGTTAAGATATTGTAAAGGACCTCCCTGCAGAGTGACCAGAGAATTCCGCAGAGTGACCAGAGAATACTGCAGAGTGACCAGAGAAAAGTTTTACTTCCTTTAACATGAGCTTTAAAGTCCTTATCCACAGAGTCGTACCACGTCAGTCAGGGCGTTATGGTAGCCTTGTGTCACGTCGAAGACCAGGATTTGATTCACTACATGGGTACAATGTGTGAAAGCCATTTCTGGTGTCACCGGTACCCGCCGTGATATTGCTGAACTATTGCTAACGCGGAGGTAAAACCATACTCACTCACTCACTCAACACGTGAACCCCTGAAACAGAAAGATGAGGTTCCTGTAGCAAAACATTTGCTGGTTTCGTCTACTGAGTCTCGGAATGTGGGAAACCTGTTTCGAAGTTTGCACGAGATGTCTGAAATGATCTTGTCTTCCGAAATCTTAAATTACTGTACACAATTTGATAATGATTCATAAGCACATACTAATGATACAATCGGGTTAGCACACTCGACTGTGCTTTTGACAGATACTATTCATTGATATATTGGCGAAACCGCATTATGGGTGGTTCGAGAAGGGAGCTAACTCCGTTTGCCTAATCGAAAGTTTGAGGTGGGCCCACATTCGAAACTAAACGCACTTGTTGTTGAGATATGTACTACGGAAACAAAACCGCATTACGAACTGCTATTTTGTCTATTTAAAATAAGTATTATGACTTTTTATTATATTTTCTGCAGAAATGTATACAATTAGTTTTTGATTTGGGAAATTTGAACCCGTTTTCAAGGGACCATTGATGAATTAAATTGAGACAGATTTGTAACTGCCTCTCTATTGTATGCATATTTTTTCCACGACAAGAAACATTAAAATCATACACGAAAAGTGATCCATCTACTGAATCACTTAAAACCTTTGAAAGACTATATATTTTTTATACTAAATAAAGTGCGAGACAAAATACTCCCTTGCGGGACACTCTGATCCTGGTTATAATGATCAGAAGGGTAGAACCAGCTTAATGGAGCTATGTTTCTAGGGAAGTAGCACTTTACCTGAAGCAGATTAAAACAAAGTACCACTTACCCAACTTTGACAGTATTTTGGTTGATGCCCAAAATTATGATTGTCATCGAAATTGTTCTTCTACGCAATTCGATGTGAGGTCACGTGTGCACATAAAAAGGTCAGATTACTATGTTTACATAAATACGGGTCAAATGTTGATAATGGAAATGCTACGAATGTGAAGAATCATTGATACATGTTTTGTGAATATTTGAGAAATGATAATGATTATATTTAGAAAACTGTTTACTGTAACATAATATATGAAATATGATGAATTCAAATAAAACAGTATGCTTAGATCAAATGATTTGACTTCTTTTTTTTTCATATTTTATATTTCATATAAATGTAACGTAAAATTCAGTGATAAAAACAGATCCAAATAGTCTTTGATGCAAATATCAGGTACATCAGGTACATTAACATTCAATAAGGATTACATAAATATGCGTTAATGTTAATACGGGTTAATTGTGGTGTGTGAGTTTGGTTTTATCCCACTTTTAGCAATATTCCAGCAATATCACGGCGGGGGACACCAGAAAATGGGCTTCACACATTGTACCCATGAGGGGAATCGAACCCGGTCTTCAGCGTGACGAGCCAAAGCTTTAACCACGCCACTTACATATTAAAAACACACTATGTATGTCAAATTAAATCCTATTCCGCTAGCTGGCCGGTGTGTTGCGGGGCTGAGTGTAAACAACGTTATTTTTGCTCTGTTGCCAGCAGGTAAGATAGACTCTCGGTGGTTGAAGAAGGAAGTCCTACATGAAAATATAAACCATACTGACATGCAGATGATTAAAGAAAACGACACGGACGTCAGTGAGGACAACACGATGCACGTGCAAGAACATAACAGTGCGAACGCGGGAGGAGACAACCAGGGCGTATTTGTAAAGCCAACCAACATTCCCGGCGCAATAGTTCGGAGAAGACAGTGTAACCTTCGAGGGTGTGTTATTATTGTCGCAGGATGTTTAATACATCTCACACTCGGCACACTTTATTCATACGGTGAGTATAAAGATAATATTCTTTTATGAACAAAAATACACGTGTTGCTGTATTTGTTATTGCGAATGTCATAACTTTAGTTATCAATGCCCGTGACCTAGATGTACATGCGTGCATGCCTTGCAATCCGTCGTGAGATCAGTGTCAAACCCGTCAGGTAACATGTGTTACTTTGCAAGGAGTATGATGTATGGCCCAGGCGTGTGCATGTAGCTGACATAATTGTCACTTATTCGGGGATACACATCCATCGCACGCACGGAACAAGTTGGTAGTTTAGAGTTTGTTCACCCTTGCAACACCTGGTGTTATCACTGTTGTATATACGATACGCACGGAAAAAGTTGGTAGTATAGTCTGTTCACTCATGTTACACCTGGTATTTTCACTGTTGAATATACGACACGAACGGAACAAGTTGGTAGTGTAGAATCTTTTGACCCATGTAACACCTAGTGTTTTCACTGTTGTATATACGACACGAACGGAACAAGTTGGTAGTGTAGAATCGTTTGACCCATGTAACACCTAGTGTTTTCACTGTTGTATATACGACACGAACGGAACAAGTTGGTAGTGTAGAATCTGTTGACCCATGTAATACCTGGTGTCACTACTGTTGTATTTACATAATGCACGGAACAAGTTGGTAGTATAGAGTCTGTTCACCCATGTAACACCTGGTGTCATAATTGTTGTACATGCGACATGCACGGAACAAGTTGGTAGTGTAGAGTCTGTTCACCTATGTAACACCTGGTGTCATAATTGTTGTACATGCGACATGCACGGAACAAGTTGGTAGTATAGAGTCTGTTCACCCATGTAACACCTGGTGTCATAATTGTTGTACATGCGACATGCACGGAACAAGTTGGTAGTACAGAGTCTGTTCACCCATGTAACACCTGGTGTCATAATTGTTGTACATGCGACATGCACGGAACAAGTTGGTAGTATAGAGTCTGTTGACCCATGTAACACCTGGTGTCATAATTGTTGTACATGGGACATGCACGAAACAAGTTGGTAGTATAGAGTCTGTTGACCCATGTAACACCTGGTGTCATAATTGTTGTACATGCGACATGCACGGAACAAGTTGGTAGTATAGAGTCTGTTCACCCATGTAACACCTGGTGTCATAATTGTTGTACATGCGACATGCACGGAACAAGTTGGTAGTATAGAGTATGTTGACCCATGTAACACCTGGTGTCATAATTGTTGTACATGCGACATGCACGGAACAAGTTGGTAGTATAGAGTCTGTTCACCCATGTAACACCTGGTGTCATAATTGTTGTACATGCGACATGCACGGAACAAGTTGGTAGTATAGAGTTTGTTGACCCATGTAACACCTGGTGTCATAATTGTTGTACATGCGACATGCACGGAACAAGTTGGTAGTATAGAGTCTGTTCACCCATGTAACACCTGGTGTCATAATTGTTGTACATGCGACATGCACGGAACAAGTTGGTAGTATAGAGTCTGTTCACCCATGTAACACCTGGTGTCATAATTGTTGTACATGCGACATGCACGGAACAAGTTGGTAGTATAGAGTCTGTTCACCCATGTAACACCTGGTGTCATAATTGTTGTACATGCGACATGCACGAAACAAGTTGGTAGTATAGAGTCTGTTGACCCATGTAACACCTGGTGTCATAATTGTTGTACATGCGACATGCACGGAACAAGTTGGTAGTATAGAGTCTGTTCACCCATGTAACACCTGGTGTCATAATTGTTGTACATGCGACATGCACGGAACAAGTTGGTAGTATAGAGTCTGTTCACCCATGTAACACCTGGTGTCATAATTGTTGTACATGCGACATGCACGGAACAAGTTGGTAGTATAGAGTCTGTTCACCCATGTAACACCTGGTGTCCTAATTGTTGTACATGCGACATGCACGGAACAAGTTGGTAGTATAGAGTCTGTTCACCCATGTAACACCTGGTGTCATAATTGTTGTACATGCGACATGCACGGAACAAGTTGGTAGTATAGAGTCTGTTCACCCATGTAACACCTGGTGTCATAATTGTTGTACATGCGACATGCACGGAACAAGTTGGTAGTATAGAGTCTGTTCACCCATGTAACACCTGGTGTCATAATTGTTGTACATGCGACATGCACGGAACAAGTTGGTAGTATAGAGTCTGTTCACCCATGTAACACCTGTCATTATTGTAGTACATGGCACTCCGATTCTTCCATTCCTTCTCGATCCTTTACGATCTCTCTGTTATACCAAAGTTATGTTTGTCATATAACTCCCCACATTCCATATACGCTTAAACAATGTTATAACACAGAACACAAATACATTAACCGCAAACTCTCAAATACAGACCAGGACGCGATCTGTTCCATAAAGCTCCACATGTGGAATATATCGTTGAATTAGGGAACATTTGTTAACTACATTGAACTACTATTTAACTGAATATGTATTTCCAATTCCAGGCAACTTCAGCCCATATATAATATCGTACATACGGAGACGGTCCTCCCCCAGTGATCTCCGCTATGTAGATGGGATATGGGTACAGGCGTGTATGATGATTGGTCAAGGAATCACAATGTTTGGAGGAGGGCTACTTGAGAGGAAGCTTGGACCAAGAATAACGACTCTCATAGGATCATGGATCATGAGGTCAGTAGATTCACGGAACTGTAAACTAATGTGAAGTGTTATTACGTATAAATACATTGTAGCTGCATAAGACATACAACCGATCATTTAACCTTTAGTTTAACATTGAATAGTTTGACTTAGTGAAAATATTAATATGTATTTATATGATTATGTGTCCTCTTGTTCATCCATGCAGTCTTGGCGTAATGCTGTCCTACTTCGCGATCCAGAATTCGTACATAGCTACAGTCTTTACGTACGGCGTGATGTTTGGTATGGGGACAGGAATAGCATATCCTATACCATTGGGCTGCGCCATGAAGGTTGGTCAAATACTATATGAATATTTCACTATTTCAATGACGCATCGCAAAATGTACCGTCTTGTATTCATCCATATATTTGATTTGATAAACGTGCAATGATATTTTACGCACCAAATCAAATACTGTATGATCAAACTACATTATTGAAGACAAGTGTTTCTATCTTAAAATATTGTGTTGCGGACCGCTTCTCACCATCCGTAAACGCGACCTGTCCGTGTGTTACCCGTTCACCGAAAATCATTCGTCACCACTCGCCCCTTTCCGTTACCTGCAAGGAGCTTGTCCCGGAATACCACGAGTTGGTCACGAATGACCGAAAATATGCCTTGTACACATGTTATTGTCAGTTTGAGCTGTGGAACACGTGTTTTATCTCCGACCTCATAATACAGCTTCTTGTCCGTGCTCGTAGGCTTCAACAAATGTCACTAAAGGCCTTCTCTTTTGAACTGGGAAATAAGAGACCTGTGAAACCGTCTAATCTATTTCATACGTAGATCGTTGTATAAAGATTCATCAGGACAAGAAAGTATATACACACGGGACTGTATGACATGAGTGATGACTTAACTTTCCCAGAGTCTGCTTTCCCTTCATGTTGAGCAATATTCCAGCAGCTCCAGCCTTTGGTGTCTACATTTCGAGGTCTGGGCAAAAATCGGGGGCTAACGTTTTGCCTACGAAGTGTTCAAAGAGTGTCATACGAGTGCCAACATTCAAGGCTTCGGTAAAGTTTTAAAAAAAATTACATTTTGAGGACATTTCCAAATCTGACGCATCAGTGTACACAATGATGCTTTTTGCAATTCCCTATGTTGACTTGTACTATACAGTTGTATGTTCCCGTATTTTCTTAGGTTAACAATTGACTTGCCTTTATATGTGTTTGTGACGTGTGCCACTGTTCAGGATATGCTCACATGTTCAAAAACACCTGGTATTATCATCAGGGGGACTGTATTTCATTAAAACATGCTTATGATACAGTCGGAATCGTACAACGGAGATTTATTATGGTAATTGAAATAATTTTCTCGCATTCATTCCAACATGATGAAACATGAATACTGTAAGAAGCACTCAACCATCCCCCAGCACTGAATATCTTCCCTAGACAGCTTGTTATACGTGGGACCCCGGTGGCCAATGGCCAAAGCGCATCATCTTTAGCTCTTTTAGGGGAGCTGAATGTCAGTGGTTTGACCCCCTGGCAGTGTTATATTAAAATACGTCAAAAGATGGGACTTGTTGTTACCCTGCCTGCATGTGCATGAAATAAACATGAGAGCATTAAGTTAAGTTAAACCCATTCCACCCCACCTGGATGAATTATGTTCTCAGTGGCTGCCGGACTGGAGGGGGCTTGTGAGTGGTTCCATCATAGCAGGGTTTGGAGCTGGCGCTCTGGTGTTTAACCAGGTTATCACTGCCTATGTCAACCCAGAAAACTACAGCCCTGATGACAACAACGATGGAGAGAAGTAAGAAAACATGTGTTGATAGCTACAGTCTGTCTGTCTTAATAATTATTATAAGAAGTAGCAATAGTAGTAGTAGCAGCAGCAGTAGTGAGTGGGTGAGTATGGTTTTACGCCGCTTTTAACCACTAGGCTACCCGACCACCACAGCAGCAGTAGTAGTAATAGTAGAAGTCGTACCAGCAGCAGCAGCAGCAGCAGCAGCAGCAGCAGTAGTAGTAGTAGTAGTAGTAGTAGTAGTAGTATAATTAATATTATTACAAAGTGCCGAACATCATTAGGAGATTGTTGTTTGCTTTTAAGGTTGGATATTTAAAAGATTGAGATTTCCCTCAATGTTTATCAATAACATACTGGATCATGTGCCTGACCAACCCCCAACTTACCCTATATAGTTCACCTTTTTAAAAACGTAGCCATGGTGGGCATATGACTCTCACAAATGTTTTACCTATAGACATAGAGGCAATGTTTGCAACACTGATATGGCCTTCTTACAGCGTGTACCTTCTGCATCTTCAGTTACTTCTCTCAGGACGTGGTGTTGGACCGTGTCCCCCACTGCTTCCTGGTGCTCGGGGGAACATACGCGGTGGTACAGCTGTTTTCCTGTCTGATGTTGGTTGACCCGCCCGAGGACAGCCAGGTACCACACAGAGAAATATTACATCAGCATTAACAACGGTACATGAGTTCTCTTTGGGAGATCATCTTCAGTTCATGTGACACGGTGGGGCGGTGGGGTAGCCTAGTGGTGGAAGCGTTCGCTCGTCACGCCGAAGGCTCGTTCGATTCCCCACGCAGGTACAATGTGTGAAGACCTTTCCTCGTGTTCCCCGCCCAGATATCGCTGGAATATTTAGGGGGTGTTATTGTATCAGGCTCGCTGACTTTAGAGTGAAAAATTGCTCAGTGCGGCGTTAAACAACAAACAAACAAAAAATCACAATCCTTTTAATTGTGAAATATTTAGATAAAACGACTGTTGAATGACAAATGACATCATCTATTTTTTCAGGATGAGGTCGGGGTAACAAGCTACAAGACTGTTGATGAAATGAGTAACATTAACGAAGGATTCTCTGGTGACATGGAGATGACGAAGTCAGCTTCTCCTGAAGCTGCAGCCGTTCAAACAAAAGACATAGAGTGAGTTATTCTTTACCTATAAGCAACAGAATCGCTGAACTTGTACTCAACAGACGTAATTCAAAATTAAAATACCATTTTTAACTTCAACCAAATTTGGTAAATTATGTTTCTAAAATTGTTTCATCGTCTGAGACCTGCATCACTTCGGGCTTTCCTCCCATATTAAGCTGCTGTAATATGACTGTAATACTGTCAAAAGCGGTGTTAAACCCAAGTCACTCACTCACTCAGTGATCCTTTCATATATTTTTCACTGCTACTTTGCCTTTTACGCTCAATGCAATCTGTTTCGGCGGATAATCGAGACTGGTTATTCTCTGGCCTTGATATTTTATATTTATTTTCCATCACATACATCACACGTTTCTTGAAATAAGTTTATAGGAACATGTTCCAATATCCCGATGGATAAGCATCTTCTTGTACAGTTTGGGGTGTCATTCATTTCTTCATTTAAAACGGTGAATGCGTGTATGTAGGATGTAAATACATTTGTATGTCGACCCTAACATTCTGCAGCTGATGTTTATCCCGGGGTACTTTATTTACAGTGGGTATTGTATATGAATAGCACATATGTTTTTTTGCAAACAGAATAAACATGCATAATGCATTGCCTTTTCTGGTACATATTATGCAATGAGTAATAGGTCACGAAACCCCAGTGCAATGAACACATTCCATCTAGCTGCACTACATGTCGACCCTATTGTATACCCTGTTGTCCTGGCTGATAAGAAGAAACACATGTCACTGAGACCTAACACTGTTTATGTTATCTTGCTACCATGAATGTAGCCTTCAAACGTCGTGAAAATATATTCACCACATAATGCATTACATTGACAATTTAGAGCCACCATAAACACTGACACGCTTTGATCGTAATCCTTCTACCTGTCGTCCCTTGGTATATATTAACCTATCTTTATGCATGTGAAGACTTACTTCAAACGTATCTCCATTGCATAGGCGTTCAAGTACAAACAAGTGACACCTGTAACTCAATGTGTTTTTATCTACTACATGGAGACCTGGTTTATACTGTAGCGTTCAAGTATAAACAAGTGACACCTGTAACTCAATGTGTTTTGATCTACTACATGGAGACCTGGTTTATACTGTAGCGTTCAAGTTTAAACAGATGACACCTGTAACTCAATGTGTTTTGATCCACTACATGGAGACCTGGTTTATACTGTAGCGTTCAAGTATAAACAAGTTACACCTGTAACTCAATGTGTTTTGATCTACTACATCGCGACCTGGTTTATACTATAGCGTTCAAGTATAAACAGGTGACACCTGTAACTCAATGTGTTTTTATCTACTACATGGAGACCTGGTTTATGCTGTAGCGTTCAAGTATAAACAGGTGACACCTGTAACTCACTGTTTTTATCTACTACATGGAGACCTGGTTTATACTGTAGCGTCTAAGTACAAACAAGTGACACCTGTAACTCACTGTGTTTTGATCTACTACATGGAGACCTGGTTTATACTGTAGCGTCCCAGTACAAACAAGTGACACATGTAACTCACTGTGTTTTGATCTACTACATGGAGACCTGGTTTATACTGTAGCGTCCCAGTACAAACAAGTAACACCTGTAACTCAATGTGTTTTGATATTCTACATTGCGACCTGGTTTATACTGTAGCGTTCAAGTACAAACAAGTTACACCTGTAACTCAATGTGTTTTGATATTCCACATTGCGACCTGGTTTATACTGTAGCGTTCCAGTACAAACAAGTAACACCTGTAACTCAATGTGTTTTGATATTCTACATTGCGACCTGGTTTATACTGTAGCGTTCAATTACAAACAAGTAACACCTGTAACTCAATGTGTTTTGATATTCTACATTGCGACCTGGTTTATACTGTAGCGTTCCAGTACAAACAAGTAACACCTGTAACTCAATGTGTTTTGATCTACTACATGGAGACCTGGTTTATACTGTAGCGTTCAATTACAAACAAGTAACACCTGTAACTCAATGTGTTTTGATATTCTACATTGCGACCTGGTTTATACTGTAGCGTTCCAGTACAAACAAGTAACACCTGTAACTCAATGTGTTTTGATCTACTACATGGAGACCTGGTTTATACTGTAGCGTTCAAGTACAAACAAGTTACACCGGTAACTCAATGTGTTTTGATATTCTACATTGCGACCTGGTTTATACTGTAGCGTTCAAGTATAAACAAGTAACACCTGTAACTCAATGTGTTTTGATCTACTACATGGAGACCTGGTTTATACTGTAGCGTTCAAGTATAAACAGGTGACACCTGTAACTCAATGTGTTTTGATCTACTACATGGAGACCTGGTTTATACTGTAGCGTTCCAGTACAAACAAGTGACACCTGTAACTCAATGTGTTTTGATCCACTACATCGCGACCTGGTTTATACTGTAGCGTTCAAGTACAAACAAGTGACACATGTAATCCATTGTGGTTTGATCTACTATATGGCATAACTTTGTACTTATTCAACCGCGGCAGTTGTGTCTGGGTCGACCGTGTGAAAAACAGCCATTTCACGGCCCATGTCCCAGATAAAATCTCAATGCATACAGATGTTATTACCTGTAAACTTTACAGGCCTTTCATGTATGACAATGGGTCTGTTTGTCGATGCAAATATGCTATAGCGGTATCATCGGCTTCACAACAATAGCTGTAATAATTAAATGTTTATTAAAATAATCAAAAGATCTTTTCAGAAGAAGAAGAATCGTGTCAGACAATAGACCCCACCACCCTCGCTCTTCCCTCAATCGCTTATATGTACCAATTATGGAGTGAGGGCGTGATTTGATTAACGTGGAGACTCTTCATGATAGAATAGCATTGTACACGTTTGCACACATTTATTTGTCTGATGACGACCTGATGTTATATTTTAACTCACTCACTATTCCTGAACAGTGCTGCTGCTGAAGATGTTCCACCACAGAAGGTCCTCAAGTCCAAGAACTTCTACCTCCTGTGGCTGATATTTCTCTTTGGGGGAGAAGGGATTGTGTTTGTTTCATCACAATATAAGGTATATTTATTACATAACAAATGTTTATAAAATCATCGGCCTTGAATTGTTGATAATTCTGATGTTTTAGCCATCCATTGTCACATTATTCAAAATGATAAAATCTTTAATTTCGCTTTTTATGTTCATACAGAATTACGGACAGACATTCATTGATGATGACCACTTTCTGGCCATTGTTGGGTCTGTGTCATCAGTCTTCAATGCTGGGGGCAGCATATTCTGGGGATATATCATGGATCGGTTCTCCTTTAAGGTAATACCACTTCTTTTCATATAATGGGTAGGTTGGTCGGCAGGATAAAGCCAACAGATAAAAACGATATCCGTTGGGGTCATATGCGGATAGAGATGCAAATATCAAAGGTCACGTAGGGACTACTTTCAGTGTTTATAAACAAACATGGCGTCGCCCTTGTCATTCGGCGATCGAGTCAGAATTAACCATCGGGAATCTGGATAAACTAAAGGCCCTGGGATAATTCTATCATTATCAAAAGAACAGTCTAATATACTGAAAATCAGTGTGTAACTGTGACGTAGCTAAGGCATTTTATAAGTTTTGGCAACTTTGGAGATATAAATTTCAAAACAATTTTGCGAGGGCACCTGGCCCAGCCAAGCGGGATGAGTAGCAATATCTGTGCTTGAAATCTTTTCCACAAATTAAAATAGTTGGATTTGGCCGAAATATGTTTGAATTGTTACCTTGTTTCGTTTTGTCGCTGTGTGTACGTCTGGCTGCGCTTAACGTTATGACAGGACAGACCGACTGTCAACAGTCTGAACGTGGCCGTGACGTCTCATAGACTAGGGTTAGAGTAGCTTCCCTTTGACAAAGGGCAGTTACTCTAGCGGACAGACCGATGGATTGCCGCGAAAGGCAAGTAAAAACAATATATGTTGCTTCGACATGTATAAGATATTGGCTATATTGGAACTATATTGGCTACTGTCACTGTCCGACTGACACATCTCTTACCCTGTGACGTAATAAATATTAATGAGCGCATTCCAGGAAAACTCGCAATGTTTAGGTAATGCTTGTGAGTGAGGGGAAGCGATTTTCAAGCACAGAATTGAAGAATGACATTATATGATATCGCCAAGGCTCGCTAAATACAATGTTTGTTGCTAATGCAGGATATTTACCATCCCCAAACACACTTGCGTGATAACCTCTATATAACCTGCTTTATTTAGTGTCAGTCAAGGAAAAGGTATGTAATCTTAAATAATCGATTTTGATGAGTAGGCTATTTATCTAATTATCTTATTATCTCGAGCAAATTAGAGGAAAGGTAACAGGAAATCAAATAATTAGAATGTGAATCTGGAATCAATTAAAATATATTTGATATCGGAAAACAAATAAGAGGTGTGAAAATTATAAAAGGGAATATAAAATGAGTGCTACTTCTTAGCAGAATCTAGAAGAGAACTGCACCTTTTGTGTGAGCTTCGGCTTAAAAGTGAGACTTACAAATGACAATATTTCTTAGGAATCCAAACTAGGGAGACACCGCCTGTACTGTTTATTTGGCTTTGTTTTGAATGACATGACCTTAAGTCTTCCTTTATCATTATCCTTTGTTAATTTCCATTATGATATATGATCGGTTATACATGGCTTTTTCATGTGCTGTTTTTTATTACCAGATTGCAGCCCGATGTATATATATTGCCTTCGCCTGCCTCATAGCCTCGTTTCTGGGGTGTGAGTATGCTGGGAGGGTGATGTTCTTCATCTGGGTGTGCCTCATCTTTTTTGCTTTCTCCGGAATCTTCTCCATCATGCCACCTGCCATTGCCAGGATGTATGGGAACACGTATGTCGGTGTCAACTTTGGACTTCTTTTCACATCCCAGGTAAGGCAATATGATAGATTCGTTGACAAAATATATCCACAGTTCCCCATGCTTGCAGTGAGATGCGGGTAAACGTGACCTGACAAATCAAGCTGCCTAAAGGAGTAAATTGTCTGTCTCTGATTATAAACACTCTACCATTGCTGACTGCAACCTTTAGTCACACTTAAAGCCTTAATCATACGTTGGTGCTTCTAACACCAGTAAGTCATACTAAGTCATACAACATGCATGTTACATTAGTATTTATTTTGTTACTTTGTATGAGATTAAAGGATTAATTGTATAGATGCACATTTATGCTGGCACTGAGAGTCTACACTATCACTTCTTTAAACGACGGTTTAAGCTGAAGCTGTACAGTGTAAACCCGAATTCGGTTCCACACATCAGTGAAAATGTGAAACACCCCTCTTGCTTACCCTGTGGTAATATATCTGACGTTGATCTCAGGATCTGATACTTCTAGTTGTGCTTAGATGACCAATATGTCAACTATTTGACTTGCTGTCTCATCAGATCATAACTGGAGCCACAAGTGCCTTCCTTGGGCAAATCCTCAAAGATTCCATTGGCTGGCATGGCTTGTTCTTTCTGTCAACTGGATTCACCGCGGCCGGTAAGACATCAATAAAACCCCATGTATACGAAATTATGACCTGTAAAAGCATTATACATTAAAGTTTACTCCCCGATGTTTAATTCATTTTAACTTGTCTCAAACTGCTGTCCATCTCGAACATCTTACAACCTCTGGTGTATAGCATATATCGACTTTTCAATGTTGATTCTTACACCGTTACCAAGCTAGCTTGGTTTGTGTAGTCATTCTGGTTTGATAGGGTTGTGAGAATCTACATCGTAAACCTCGCTATATACAATATACCAGAAGTTGTTATGCATTAAGTTGTTTTCTTTAGTCAGCAACTTGTGGAATGCCAATCAAACAGTCAAAAGTTTTTACACTGCAAACTATTGCCTACTAATCAGACAGAAAGATCCTTCGTATCTGACACGTAACCTGAGCCCCTTTTCTTTTCAGGTTTTATCGTTATATTTTTCCTGAAAACGAAAACATCATCAGGGGATGATTTCTGAAGGGAATGAGACTTCCACTGTTGCATCTGTGACCAGCTGGGTGTACATCTCTATACTATCAAACACAACGATATACATTGCATCTGTGACCAGCTGGGTGTACATCTCTATACGATCAAACACAACGATATACATTGCATCTTTGACCAGCTGGGTGTACATCTCTATACGATCAAACACAACGATATACATTGCATCTGTGACCAGCTGGGTGTACATCTCTATACGATCAAACACAACGATATACATTGCATCTGTGACCAGCTGGGTGTACATCTCTATACGATCAAACACAACGATATACATAGCATCTGTGACCAGCTGGGTGTAAATCTCTATACGATCAAACACAACGATATACATTGCATCTGTGACCAGCAGGGTGTACATCTCTCTCCGATCAAACACAAAAATATTCATGCATATGTGGACAGTTTCATATGTGTCTATAGACAATAATATGTATAAAGTGAGGCATGTATACCTATATAAATAGTGACTTTGAACCTTGATTTGAACGATGTATGAGCAGTTTAGATACACGTAACAGATGTAATCGTACGGATGTGTAATTCATACTTTTAGTAATTATCTACATACGACTGTTTTATTGCTAGGAGTGAGTGAGTGAGTGTGGTTTTACACCACTTTTCAGCAATATTCCAGCAATATCACAGCGGGGGACACCAAATGTGGACTTCACACATTGTACCAATGCAGCTGGGAACGATCCGGGACTTTGGCGTGTCATGGTAGGAAAGAAAACAAAACTAGCTGGGTGTACATCCATTAACACAACAATATATATGCATATGTAAACAGTGCCATGTATTTCAATTTAAACAGTGACTTTGAAGCTAGATTTGAATGATGTGTGAGAAGTTTAGATCACGCTTACACATGAAAGATGTTTTCATACGTACGTGTAGTTTATACCCTTAGTAATTTCCTATATACGACGGTTTCATGGTAGAAGTGACTTTGCGAGTGTGTAAGGTTTGACGCCGCATTGTAGCAATATTCCAGCAATAGCACGGCGGAGGACACCAAATATGGTGAGTGAGTGAGTTAGAATTTTACGTCACATTGGCAATATTTCAGCCATATCGTGACGAGAACTTAGACATAATAAATATTTATACGGAATAAAACCTGTCAGCGATGGACAGTATAATAACTAGAGTATCACAGTTTCGATTCTAAACAGGTTGCCCAATTCGGTCGTCTTTTACGACCAGCAATGGGGTGCTGAGGACACATTCTTATCTTCCATGGGTTCCCAAGGGGGCACCAAATATGGACTTTACACATTGTATCCGGCTAAGGGAAAAATTGGGTCTTCGGTGCGTCATGGTAGGAAAGAAAACAAAACAGGTTACAAGGATTGTTCTTTAGAATCCCCTTGGGTATCAGTAAGAAAACGTGTACAGTACAGAAAACACCACTGAGAGCAGTGGACAATCAAACAGTGATTAACGCTATGGTTCAACAACTGAAGATGACATTTTGTTCACAATGGAGCCGGCTTATAAACCACATAACATACTGAGGTGTCATTCAGCAAAACTATTACGTTGAATGTTCAAAAACTATAACGGGATTTCATTGTAGCTACAAAAATATTAAATAGCAATTAAAACATAAATACCTGATATATCATTTCATCATGTTTGTTGTTTGTTTGTTGTTTAACGCTGCACTCGGCAATATGATGGCGATTTTGTCAGTAATCGAGTTTGGACCAGGCAATCCAGTGAATGATATTTTGAGCATCCATCTACACGATTGGGATACGATGCATCAACCAAGTTTTGAGAGCCTGACCACCTGATCCCGTTAGATGTCTCTTACAAGCATGGGTTGCTGATGACCCTGTTCTTCACGGGAAGTTAAGAGTATGTATGGCATGGAATATATATAAGTATTTCAATATCCTATTCAAACATATAAATAGATGTAAAACTTACACAACATAATCAATCTCATGTAATGTAATGTAATCAACTTTTTTCATAAATTAAAGCAACAAACACATGTTCATGGTGTTCACGAGAAGGTGAACATATCCTTCCTCACTGGAGGCAACTGTCACAAATACATGCAAAGGCAAGTCAGTTGTTCAATTACAAAAGACAGGAACATAAGGTACACATAGGGAATTGCAAAGGATATAATTTGTGTCACTGAGGCGTCAAATTTGGAAATGTCAACCAAATGTATAGACATATATACATAAATAAAAGCGGCAAAACTCTTTAACACACACATATTCGTGATATTTTCCAATCTTCTATAAATGTCCTCCATGTTCTGTCAAACAAACAGCCGTTATATGTTCGGTGTATTAAAGGCATCGAGGTTGTCTGAACAAGGGAAATTGGTTTCCACAAGCCTGTTGTTAAGTTCTTGTTCGGGGCGGACGTTTGTATATGTCGCCAACACCCGCCCACCTTTTCTTGGAAGGTTCCTCAGCATCTGCAGCTATAAAGAAAAGGGGTAGGGTGGGTTAGGTAGTACTGTTAAGAAGTTGCTGCCTGAAATAATCACGATAATGAGACATAATAGTCTCGTGTTCTTACATTGAATATGCCTTGCATAGTCGTTTCAGATATAATGAATACTATTAATACGTTACATAGCATGTAGATGCTCCACACGTCGCCGTGGAACAGATACCATGGATTACAAACTGCTACCGTACATAAATGAATATTTTGGTACATGTAGCTGTCAGGATTTCGGGGAAGGATAGGTCCGCAGTTCCCTACGCTTGTCGGAAGTGTTGCCTGAAGAAGACAGTCTGGTCAGGCTCGCCAGTTTGATGGTGTCACCGTGTCTTATAAGTGATCGTTACTTGCAGCCACTGACTCAGTTATTTACAGGCTGTCGTCATATAGCTAAAATAATGCTGACGACAGCGTTAGAAAAAAATCACTCACTCTCTCATTCTGATATCCTACAAATGATCCATATAAAATAGCAAGAATGTACTGGAAGCGGAATCCGTAGGGAAAGATGGCTCCTTTGAACAATTTTAGTTATGCTAGTAGCGGACTACACAGCCTGAAAGTTGCTGAAAGCAGGTATTTCATCTCAGGTATACATACAGCAGAATCTGTAGTACTGTTCCATATTACCTCTGGATATATACTTGCAAAGAATTTTAAGCCCAGTAATATTTCTTAGTAGTCACGGCTTGGTATAAGGGACATCAAGAGAAAATGTCTCATTTATCATTTCTTGGTTACGATATAAAAAGCTTCTCGTTTCTACATGTATGCTATGAACATCAAATACAGATCAATAGGCGGACGTTCCATGACATACCCCTCGTGAACTCAGCTGTAATGGTTGCCTCATAACGACCCACAGAACTGACTCCGAGCATGGCGGAGACGTGAGCGAACCCTCATATATGAAGAACTCTTTACTGTGGGGGAGCAGCAGGAGGGGCCTTATAGTTGTCCTGAGTTTCGCATCTGTAGGAGGGAATATACATCATAACACATATACCATGTATAGGACGCTACAAACATAGAAACATTACATGTGTTGTAAACAATATTGTATGTGGTAATTACAATGAAACACAATATAGGGCTGGGCAATACAGTTATATCAAGTAGTTTGTGTAGTACAATGGAAGCGACCTGTGAAGATCCGGGGAAGAATAGGTTTTCAGCAACCCAAACATGCCGTAAAAAGCGACTATGCTTGTCGTAAGATGCGACTAATGGGATCGGGTGATCAGGCTTGCTGCATAATGTATGTCATCGCATCGCAATTGCGTGGATTGATGCTCGTGATGACAATCACTGTATTGTCTGGTCCAGCCTCTATCATTTACAGATCACCGTCATTTTGCTGGAATATTGCTGAGTGCGGTGTAACACAACAAACAGACAAACAAATAAAGTGTAAAGCATATCTTCTTTGATACACTTATAGACAGTGATATTTCATATTCTGAGTTGGTTTGGTTCGCACGTAACATAAACACTGTACCGTTTGCCTTTAACCTCGACACCAAGCGGACATATCTTCTTAACTCGCTGTTTGGTGATGTTCTTGCTTTCTAAAACAACAAACGCGATAACTTGCCAAATAGGTACTGGCTATTACCACAAAAAGGACCCTTATATACCTTTTCCTTGTTTTTCCCCATAGAGTGGATCAATCTTTACAGTTATCAGGCATGATGTCATCCAAAACATGAGACAGGGATACTACACCACTTTCTTACAGTAATCTAAAAAATGTGGTTTACAAAATGAAAATACAACATGGAACGTGCTGCTCGCCTGTATAAGGATAGCAATAACGGCAAGTCCATCCGGTTTTGACGTCGCCTCCACTATACCGCTATACTTCCTGTTGTAGTGCACCAGATGGACCTGAAACAGCGACAACATAGCAGTGTAATCCTCACGAAAATAAGGAACTATAAATTCTTTATTATAACAACTAGATCATTTGTTTTAGGGTTATTACATATACATTAACATAACATTTATTCCATAATACATATTAAATTTCTGTACACATTAACATTATTATCTTTCTTTTAATAATTCAGTGGGTTTTTCCAGTCTACATTAACAATTCACATATATAGATCTCTACAGCATATCCACTTCAGCATTTAGCTGTTTTCAGCTAATATGAATAGTGTCCTGATGTGCCCTACCTGCTCATATCTCAACATTCATCTGCCACGTCAATACTAAATTATTGACATTTATGTCTCTCTATTTGTTCCCCATAGCTGTTTACAGGCAGTATGGGCTGTATCCTTCTTCCACCAACATGGTAAGTAACAATTCACTAGATGCATTCAACCTGCTTCTGGACAATGTTTACTCGCTGCTCAGGTCCCGTTTTATGATTAGAGAGTGGATGGGTCCCATAGCATTGGCTGAATTGGGCGATCGTTTTGAGCAAGGGTGTGGAAGAATGTGCCATAGGACATCATCCGCAAGGGTTTCTGGGCATCGTTGTTTTGTATAGTTTATTGACATTGTGAACGGGAGAGATGTACAGGTTATACAACCTTAGGAAGCCCTCTCTGAACAGATTTACGCTGCACAAAAAACAAATCAAGTTTAAGTTAGGGATAGCCTTGTGAATTCCACCAATAGGGGAATATCATCATTATAAAGAATGGCCTCAATGTATATCAAAATAATCCGTTACTAGGCAGGTCCTGGGACTTTAAATTCAGAGACTGAGATTCCATGTCAATACCTAGGCCTTTCCTCCATATTCATTCTCGAGGTATACAAGAACTTCCAGCTTGTAACACTCCAGAAGCAACCTTTAGTAAAGTAGTTCCTGATGCCACATGTGACTCATTGCATCCGCCCGATTTTGTCGTTCGCCTATCTCTGACCTAGGTTCACCCACTCTACCTACCTCGGCCCCGTATCCTGTGTGTTCCAGCCAGTGTTCGGAGCCTGTGTCCCCTGTGATGCCAGCATGGTAGTGTATCTCCCCCAGGAGGAACGTGCAGCCCTGACGACGGGGTACGTCACTGAGAGAGAGTCTCCTTTTCGGGAAGGTCATTGTAGCTGTTTGTCCTGTGGATATGTAGGAGACATTGAATTGGTATTGAAAGAGAACATGTCCCTGTCTTGCGTTCCGTATCTTTGTACTAATACTTCTGCCACAAAATAGTCCCTGGTTCGAAATAGGTCGTATCCCTTTTATAAGCCTGAAAACACTATAAAATGTGCTCTTCTGAAACACTGACGAATCGAGTTTCAAGAAATATAAATCCGAATGTGCACTTGTCACTTAAACATGATTTATGGTCTTGAACATGAACTCGATGATAGCGTGTACAACACAATATAGCCGTATAAAAAATAATCACACCCTCCATACATATAGACAAGGAATGACACATGCCATGTTGGTCCTTATTCAAGATTTCGCACTCGGTTCGAATCACAGCTCTCTATCGCATCAAATATGAATGTCACTTGTTCCAACCTTTGGTACTTGATAACAAACCATAAGCTGCACAGTCGTGTTAATCTGTGCTAACCTTAACTCGTATTTATTTTAAAACAACCATCAGATCTCAGCAGACGTTTCTGATATTGGTCTTGGACACCATTGTTGCAGGGGAACCTACAGAAATGATGGCGTAACAATCTGAGATGAGTACAAGTCATTTGACATCAAATATGATGTCCTCATCAGTTAATCACACTGGTGTTTTGTATGACTGGAGATTGTCTGTGGTCGGCGCATCTGTATTCCTGAACGTTAACATTCTGTTATTCTATTTTATTGCAAACACACGTTCAGCATGTTGTTCGTGGTATGGACGTGTCGATCTATATGGCTAGAGGTAACTTATATATTCAGCTAACACCAAACTGAAAACCTACCATTGTTATATGTGACTGACGATACACTTGCAGCCTGAGACTGACTGTATGTGAGAGTGTAGGGCTGACCACACGCTGCGCCTCGGGTACTCAGAGGTACGGGAGACTGCTTCGCTCCCCCACAGCAGGTTGAGATCCGGTGCCACCGCAGTGGACCTGCAATATTAGCATAATTAGCCCATTTTGAGTGTGTATCATATAACTATTCATACATGCTTTTGTCGATATAGGTATTACTTATATCGAAAACATTTGACAGAATTT